AAATGAATTATCAAATATGTAAGATTTTGAGTTAATATGAATTGGAATTTTTGAAATAAAATAGATTGATTAAATCAGCATGTATGTATATTGATTTATTACATTCTAGATAAATTGAAATAAATAATACCTTTAATAATTATATACATCCTACATGAATATATAAAATATATCAAAATTTTTTGATTAATAATCTGTTATTAATAATTTTATATTCAATTGTATGTATATTAATTTATGAATAATACCTTTTGATAATTACATCTTAGATGAATGATACTTTAATAATTATATACATTCTAGATAAACATATAAATGCATCAAAATTTTTTGATTAATAATAATTTTATATCCAGTTAACAACATGTATGTATATTGATTTATAAATAATAATTACATCCTAGATGAATTGAAATAAATAATACTTTTAATTATTAATGATAATTTTATATTCATTAATTCAATTATTTATACTTATAATAATTACATCCTAGATAAATAAATATAATTCTTTTATAATATAGTCATATATCTTTCTCCTATAATATCTATTACTTTCATAAATAATAGTTTGCAACTTTTAAAATTTTTTGCTGAATCCAATCTATATACATAAAATTCTTTGCAACTATTAAATTTCTATAAAATAGTTTTTTGTGAGCCTCTCTAAAACTTATTAACCAACACCCCCCATAAAGTAATGACCATATGAAAGTTTAAAGTATTCTATACCTTCTCATTTACTATCAAGTCTTTTAAAGCGATATTGAGAAATAATCTGAGCTTTGAAGTGAAAAAGTAACACCGTTTTTGAATAGTCGTGAATTCATGTAAAGAAGACCTTTCGATATGAAAGAGTATTCATTAGAAAGCTTTAATGGAGTATTTTCATTTTACTCTAACAACGAAGTTCGAGTTTATTATAAAATAACGAAAAGCAGCCTCAGGGAAATGTCACACGACTATGTGACTGTTAAATATAAAATCCGTTGAAACGAGAATTTTTAAAAAAATCAAGAGGTAAACCAAAAATCCGTTGAAACGAGGGTTCGACTGTACTATAAAGGTTAATGATGACCACTGTCAAGTGTAATGCTTTGGGATGACTTCTTTGATTAAATGAACTGCTTTCACTTGGACCAATAACCAAGATTCAAAAGACCACAATTTAGCCAAGATAGAGTAATAGTTAATAAAGAGTATGTTTGTGATGTCTTGAATTCCAACATTTGTTTGGCATTAAATAGACTTATGGGATCAGGCTGTGTATTTTCAAGGCCACCAACTCATGCTCCGGCATACCGGATATCAAAATAAAAAACTTGGTCCGATATTAAATACTTGATACTAAATATTAACATTAGGTATTTCTATACAACACTAAACAAAGAAAACAACACAAATCGTGAAGACGTTCAATTTATATATTTTTATTCATAGTTCCAATAATTAATTTGTATGGAAACTAGAAAATTTTCCGTGTATTTTCTTTCTACAAATTACCAATATATAAAATGAAAAAAATCAAGACGCCTCGAATTGTCTTGAGTTTGGAATACACATATGCAAGTCAATTATAGAAGTTTGCCTAAACTAAATTGTGATGATGCCGAAACTCTGAAAAAAAAAGGTTATAGAAACTAATAATTCGAAACTCAGTTACTTTTCCGAAACTCAATTACTGTGCCGAAATTCGACCATTGCAGAAGGTTTAAGTTCAATTCATTATCAGGGATTTATGCATCACGATTTTCATCCAGGATAATTTGCTGCTGAAACTTCAATTTTTGTTGAAACTATTTTATAATGATTAAACATTTTCTTTCGAAACTGATTAATTATTGTTGAAGTACAAGAAATGTAAAACATTTATATATTATTATTATGTAGAAGGTGTTATAATTCTTTGGTTACATTGGTATCAACAAAGATAAATTGGTGAGGTGTTTGCTTTGGCAGATTTTGGTGTTGGAAAATGTACTAGTTGAATACCATATTCTGGATCATTCATTATCTTCTTGATTTAAGTCTATGATTTCCAAATCTGAGATCTTCATTAGCTATGTAAACACTCTTATTATTCCCACAAAGCAAACAATGAATAGATTAGGAATTACCCAAAGAATGCATTTACTTGGCTTTATTGATAATATATTTAGGAAGATACTTGATTGATTCTCTCCAAAAAATTTTTATAACATAAAAAATGATTTCTTTTCAGCAATCTTGATTAAGTTTAAGGACAGGACAATATCTTTATCTTTAAATAAAGAAAGGAAAAAGATGTAAAAAATAAAAAGCTAATATTTATTATTTGAATTATTAAATTTACGTGTAACAAAAAAAATTTTCCCGTGATAAAAAATATGATGAAATTATTTTTTAATTTAGTAGTTTAGGCAAACTTCTATAAGGTCAATATTGGTATGTATAATAAATATAAGATATCAATAAATACAAGATGTAAGATATCAATGAAAATATTAAATATTAATAAATATTGTAAAAATAAAAATAACTATTTTATTCGCCACAAGTCTAGTTAAGAGTTTCGCTTTCTGCAATGAATCTAACCTTATTATCGTCAACTTCGACTTTGACTTTTTATTTAAAGAAATAATTTTTATTGATTAATTAATAATGAATGATGGTGATATTTCCAAATGAAAAGAAAAATTACCATTTCTACCAACAACTTGCATGTCACGGCAACTTTTTTGAAATACTGCCAAAGGTAATAATATGACAGCATCATAATCTCTCATCTCGAAATGGTACCTTTCTTTGTGTGTTTTAAAATCTTTCATATCAACAAACCCACTATGAAGTGACAATAACTACCATTCTCTTTAATGGTTATTTAAAAAAAATCAATTCAATTCGCGTCTGTCCCCCCAAAAAAAATTTGTACAACAATACTAATACTAATACTAATAGGTGCAAAAAAAATTTTTTTCATTCAAACCCAAAATCGTTGTTATTTTTGATTCAAAAGATAAAGATAATTAGGGTAAAAATTATTTAGTTTGCTGATATTCCTTTCTATATCAACAACATGCAAGTATCTGGATGCACTTTTTATCAGGACAAAGTACTTTGGTAATTAAAAATCGTTAATTTGTCTATTTTCCACCGACATAAATTTTATTATAAAATATACAAAAAATGCATCTGGATACTTTCTTCCGGAGGACGTGATCTTTATTCTAGACAGTGACCAATATTTTGACATATGTAATTTCTTTAGTATACAAATTTTTGAGGAAGTTGTAATATGTCAGTAATAGTAATGGATATAGATATAGTGATAAGCACAATAGTAAAGGAGACGGTAAAATTTTTTTTCAATGAACGTCGTCATATGTGTCATATGTACGTGAAAGAGTTACACGAAATAAAATGGTTTTATTTTCACGAATTCACTACGCATTATTATTAGATAATAATAACAAATAATTTTTGCATAAATTTTTTTTAAAAATGGAGGCTGAAAGTGGTTCAACAAAAAATGAGACAAAATCAATTATTGAGGCAGCAGGTTTTGCTTTCAATCAAGCAAAAAACCAAGATCATTTGTTATCAAAAAGTCGTTCTGAAGTGGTTTATAAAAAAGATCAAATTTCTTTTCCAAAGCCAAGAGTTAGAGCAAATTCTATCCTCGAATTTAATTCGGAATTTTCTCCACAGTATCAACCACAACAATATCATCAAAAGTTTCGAAGTCAAACACAACCTCCTTCCCAATTTCATCATCAATATCAACAGCCTCAATATCAACAGCTTCAATATCAGCATAATGAAGGTTACTATAATAATAATTCACAATATAACCAAATCAATTCTGGATTTGCTACCAAATCATCAAATGCTTCTCGTAGAGCTTGGTCTGATATTACATATATCCCACATGATACTCGTACTGAATTAACAAATTATAGTGACCCAGGTCCTCAAGTATACAATCCACAAACATTTAACTTTCCTCGTCATGTACCAACTGCCACAATCTATGAAAATAATCACAATTATTATCCCAATCAACCTTCTTTATATGGCGAAGCCAGATCACATAAGCCTAGAATTGCAGCTAGTGCTATGGTGGATATTGGTGATAATGTAGCACAACCAATAACAACCACAACTGTTAAGCCAAGAAAAGTGGCACTTTCAGCACAATTAAATGATACTAACAATTTTACAGATCAAAATTACCCTGACTCAAGAAATGATGGTGATGATTATGGAGAGGACAATGATGAGGTTGACAATGATGGTGATGATGCTGATAAATATAATGATGATGATGTTGGATCTAATGATAATGACAATGATCAGGCTGAGCTCGATGAATTAATGAAGTTATCATCTGATCCAAAAGTTCAAAGAAAAGTAATATATTATATACATATTATTACCATTGTTATTATTAAAATTATTTGGGTAATTTAAATTCTAATATATATTATAGTTTCTTGATCTTCGAATTTCTAATAAATCACTCCTAACACTCAATGTTACACTTGAATCTACTGTCAAAGAACAATCTGATAAACTTGCAACAATTCCATCATTTGAAGCTATGATGGAAACACAACAAAAACAATTAGAGCATCTTAATAAAGTTGAAGAGTTGATTAATACATTGTCAACTAAAATGACTGAACAAGATGATGAAATAAAGGTCATAAAAAGCCAAATCATAGAGAAATCGTAAGTTTAATTTACATTTTATTTAATGATTTAATAGTTTATATATATTATATTAACTTATATTTTGTTCAAAGAGATGAAAAAGGAAAGGTAAACTATATGGATATCTATGATTATAAATTTTTTTTTATGATCCTTTATATATAAAATAAATTTTTATAATATTTATTCATCAAACATATATAAAAGACACAAAGAGCTCTATTCTATGATCCGAAATCTCTTCCATTAAAATCTCTTCCAAATATTATTTTCGACAGAGGTGAGTTTTTCCTGACTTCATTTCAATAATATAATATGATAATTACATATTAAAGTATTCCTTTTACTACATTTATATGAATAATAAATAGTATATGATGACGTCACAATCCTCTTTTCAGTGGTGACTTCTTTACTATATACTGTTTATATTTTTCCTGTTATTGTTATGGCAAAAACTGCTCAACAACTAGTTGATAAATCCAGAGACAAGGTTCAAAAAACAGAAATAGCAAGTTAAAATCATAAATTAAACATATTGTATATTGTATGTAATTAACTATTTATTATTTGATTTTAAAGAATATCTTTTTTACTTTTTAAATTCTGTATGAGTATATATATAGATGGGTGTCTAAACTAAATTATTTAGACATTAGACAAATACTATTTTGACTTTAGACAATCCCAAAAACAATTTAGACGCCCATATATAATATATACCATAATATACTTTCTAACAACTACTGTAGTAAATAAAAATAATTTTTAATTAACTTGTACACAAAAACTATTAAAGTTGGCAATAGTAATTTTACAATTAACATGTTTGAGCAGTTACAAAAAATATAAGAATCATGAAGAGCCATTTGACCTTGATATTGTTTGCTGTTCAGAAGACCCTAGAAGCTGGTGGAATCTTATTGACACAGATTCACAACCAGACACTCTTCCAACATTAGCATGTCATCTGTTTTCAATATGCCCAAATTCTGCAAGTTGTGAATGTGGATTTTCTATGTTTGGATGGCTGTTTCATAAATGTCATTTGAATCTCAATTTACAATGACTAGAATCCATGTCTAAAAATGATCATGTACTGGAAATCCAATGCAAAGACAGAACTTGGATTTTATGGATTAAATAATAAGAAGAAAACATGTCTAAGTGATGCTGAAATAAATATATCTATTTACTGAAACAGATGATAATGACAATGAAAGTGAGGGTGAAGGTGAAGGTGAGACTTCTTTTTTCATAAATAGTGAAACGATACCTGAAGATAATTGTATCATTTTGATTGAAAATGTGTGGATTGAAAAATTTGTGGACCTGTTGCATAATTTAATACATCTTCTGGAATATTGCAATTTCCTTGATTATTGATGAATATGAAAATGTCAATATAACCAATGAGGATGAAAAAGGAATTTTAGATTACAATATAGATGATTTATTAGGTGAATTTGTTAGTGAAGAGGTGTAAATATATTTTTTTTTTTTCAAAATTCACATTCATTATACATAAATTTATGTGTATATATGTGTGTATATATATATAATGCATTTTAATAGAAAACAATAGATTTTTGGGATAAATTTAATCAATGTGCTTAGAATAAAAATAAAAATATTGATTTTATATATATATATTTTTATTTTTTTTTGGATTATAATCCAACTAATTTACATATTATACAATTAAATTTGGTAGATGGAAGTTTTGGCATTTCAGCATTTTTGACATTTTTGACATTCTTGACATTCATATCAGCCGATTTGGTTTTTTGGGCCTTTTTTCAAACCTTATGTCTTATTGTGTCTCGATGTTAAACATGAGTATATTTGATGTGTAAACTGGTCGGTAGAATGATAATTACCCTAAAAAAAATTATTTGCTCCGCTAAAAAAACTAATTTACTATC